TTGATGGTAATTGACTAAAGTTTCGCGAATAATTTGCGGTGAATGTTCCAAATTTTTATAGCTGAATTCGGATTGGCGTAATAGGATTCCATCCGTTTTCTACTGATCGTGAGATGTCTGATAGTGAGAGCTGTTTCAGAAAAGCAAATCTCGTAATCGGTCTAAAGCAATTCTGTCGGATTCCTAGGCAACCAATTTTTTTTGAAAACAACCGAATCGATTGCAATTATCATCACCACATTCTACACGATTATTATAGCGAATTGGACATCGAGTGATTATCTTGTCAATCGCTGTGAGCGATCGGCGGAATATTTATTTTATTAGAGTTATGATTATTTATTGGATTGATATTTGGCTACGATTAATTATGTAAAGTATTCACGACAACTAATTAATTATTCGGTTGTGTTCGGTTGGCCTACTCGCCTAGCCAGCGGGGTGGATTGAATTGAGACTAAAACAATGGCACTGTGGCCAGCAACGTTACAAACGTTTGAGAGCCTGGCCAATCCAGGTAATCCAGGTAAAACATCTTACACACTTTCAACAAACACCAGCAGCAATACCGAAGCACAGTGAGAGTTTTCAAGCGCAAATGACGAAAAACGCCAAAGAAATCCACTCACTTCTCCACAAAAATTGGCTTCAATCTCGGCATCATATCGTNTTCGCTATGGTCCGATTCCTCGTCGGTGGTTTCCTCTTCGGTCTCCTCTTCCTCCTCTTCAACACCGACCTCTTTGCTCAGCACCTCCTCTTCTTCACGTTTCAGTGCACGTTCTCGGAGACGTTGCCGACGACGTTCGAATTCCTCCTTTAAATTATTTCAAAACCTGATGAACATCTTCAATAAATAAACAATCTATAAATAAACACGAAAGTATGAACGATTCTAAATGAAATTCAATTCAACCAAATTACTTGTAAATCAATAAATATATAAAGATTATAAATGAGCAGTGAACAAATGCAGTCGAACTATCAAACAATCTTCAATTTCCCTCTTTCCTATTAAACAATCTAATCCCTGCTTTCTGCTTCATACCAAAAAAATAGATACAATACCAAATACAGATCTAAATCAAGCGTTACATCCAGATCAAATCTCGATCAATCAATCAATCAATCGATCAGATCAGATCGAAATCAACTCAAGCACCGACCTGATCATCCTCATCTGCTTCATCCTCCTCAACCGGTGCTTCCTGCTGTTCGTACTGCAAGCGTCTAGCCCGAGCTCTGGCCCTCCGTCTCTCGGCCTCTTCTTCATCCTCGGAACTCGATGCTGCAGCCTCTTCCAATTTTGTTGTGGCTGCCACAGCTGCCTCTGAACGTCCACGAATCACCTCGGGTTCATCCACTCGACGATTTCTATCACTTAAACACACACCCATAAATTTTCATCAGCTAGTGATAATGAACTGATTATTCACCGCATCAAATTTTCACCAATATATTCAAATGAAAACCCAAAAAGAAAACTACTTAATTACTTCTAAAACATCTACGATTCTGCCTTCTTGTGGAGATTTTGCTGCTATTAATATGATGATAATATGATGATATAATAATACTTACTTAGTGTGATATATAATGATATGATATGATGATAAAATATGATATAATATGATGATAATAACATAATGATAATATGATGATATTTCTAAAATTTTTCACTTCCACATTCTCAACATTCACTATTCCCTAATGTAAGGAAGATCTCGTGTCTCTGCGTTGAACAAGTCAAAAAAAAAAACGCCAAATTAAATCGCCCCACTAACCGTTCTGTACGAAGCGGCGCATCATGCAATCTTCGATCGTCTCCTGCTCCTGCAGAACGTCCAACTCTACGGATATCGGCAACACGATCCTCTTCATCGCTATCTTCAGGTCCCGACGAATCATATTCTCCTTGCACGTAGGCTGGTCTTAACAAACAGTCTATTGATTTCATTAATAAACTGATACTTCCTTCCGTCTTGTATCAAAACAATTTCTCGTTTAATCAACACAGCACTTCTGTTGAATTGTTTCAATTAGCAATCATGCAAATGTCGTCTTATTTACGATTCATCAAATTCATCAAATAATACTTCATTCAATCTTAACACCGATCACGTCTCATCGGTTCTGCTTCTCTTCAATAGACCGCCACTAATCAATGAAAAAAGATTGCAAAGGTGTCGCAGAAAGTTCAGTTACTTTGAACTGAATCAACCTAATCGTAAGCTAATCTTTAACTTTAGGTTGTTAACATTTGACACCTGATTTCAGCATAA